CTTCGAATACATTCTATTTATTTACTTTCCCTTCTCTCCTCGCCACCCACCATTTGGCAGAGAACCAGGCCTTTAGCAGGTATCTGATAGTGCTTGCTGAAGTGAAAGCCATAAATTCCCTTAGAGGCTCCCCTTGTAATGTCCCTGTTCCCCGACAGGTGGCACCATTACAGCATTATTTACAGAGCAGGATTCCTTCTACAAGCACAGTGCTTCCAAGCAGAAAGAGAATTCACTTTCTGGGGACAGTCTAAATGTGAGGGGGAAATGGTAGCTGGAATAAAGGATTCAAAAACATGTCTTTTGTTCAAAAACATTTCTTACCATAGCAAAGTATCCTGGCTGAATTTATTCTTCAAGGCATATAAATGAGGAAGATGCTTTTGAAAACCTGCCTTTTCAAAGATGCAAGCAGGTGGTTGGGGAATTCATGTGGAGGTCAGAGTGGAAGCAGGTGTGAGAGGGTCCAGCAGAAGAAAGCATGGCTGCCAAAGTGTTTGAGTCCATTGGCAAGTTTGGCCTGGCCTTAGCTGTTGCAGGAGGCGTGGTGAACTCTGCCTTATATAATGTGGATGCTGGGCACAGAGCTGTCATCTTTGACCGGTTCCGTGGAGTACAGGACATTGTGGTAGGGGAAGGGACTCACTTTCTCATCCCATGGGTACAGAAACCAATTATCTTTGACTGCCGTTCTCGACCACGTAATGTGCCGGTCATCACTGGTAGCAAAGATTTACAGAATGTCAACATCACACTGCGCATCCTCTTCCGGCCCGTCGCTAGCCAGCTTCCTGCATCTTCACCAGCATCGGAGAGGACTACGATGAGCGTGTCCTGCCGTCCATCACGACCGAGATCCTCAAGTCAGTGGTGGCTCGCTTTGATGCTGGAGAACTAATCACCCAGAGAGAGCTGGTCTCCAGGCAGGTGAGCGACGATCTTACAGAGCGAGCAGCCACCTTTGGGCTCATCCTGGATGACGTGTCCTTGACACATCTGACCTTCGGGAAGGAGTTCACAGAAGCGGTGGAAGCCAAACAGGTGGCTCAGCAGGAAGCAGAGAGGGCCAGATTTGTGGTGGAAAAGGCTGAGCAGCAAAAAAAGGCAGCCATCATCTCTGCTGAGGGTGACTCCAAGGCGGCTGAGCTGATTGCCAACTCACTGGCCACTGCAGGGGATGGCCTGATCGAGCTGCGCAAGCTGGAAGCCGCGGAGGACATCGCATACCAGCTCTCACGTTCTCGGAACATCACCTACCTGCCAGCGGGGCAGTCCGTGCTCCTCCAGCTGCCCCAGTGAGGGCCCACCCTGCCTGCACCTCCGCGGGCTGACTGGGCCACAGCCCCGATGACGATTAACACCGCCTTCCTTCTGCCCCCACCCCAGAAATCACTGTGAAATTTCATGATTGGCTTAAAGTGAAGGAAATAAAGGTAAAATCACTTCAGATCTCTAAAAAACAAACAAACAAACAAACAAACAAACAAAAAACAAAGATGCAAGCAATTTTATGTCTTGCAAGAAGTATACATCTAAATATATTTAGGTAAGGACTATTCCTTAGTTCAGGGAAAACTACTAGGTGAGCCATTTCATCATACATATCAAACAGAGACTATCATTTATGGTGATCCTGAGATCATGTAAAACTAAGTGTTCATGTTGGAGGCCAGCTTACATCTCTTAGGGAAGTAACAGTTTCTCTAAGAGCAGATTTTAGCCGTACCAGGATAAAATTGTAGCTTACTTCTATGAAGCTATACATGTTTTCATCTTGAGAATAGGAGCTAAACCCTGAGAGAGGCGCCTTAAACCAGTGTGAGACGGAGTGCCAGAAACTGAAAGAGTTGTGATGAGTTACAGGCAGCACAGTATGTGCTGGCCCCAGACATAAAATGGTATGAAGCCATGGCGGGGTTCATTGCCTCACCTCCACATCAGCAGTGCTCCAGCAAACTCCAAGTACTAGCAGACTTGGAAGTATTGGGAGACAGGATTTTTAGCACATCATGGGTGTCAACAAAATTTGAATGTGTTGATTAGATGGTGTGTAATCAGATTTCTGTAAAAATTTCAATTCAGTGTGGAAAACTCTGGAGGAAAAGGTGCCAAGAGTACCAGGTTCAGGAAAAGTCATTTCCACTAGGGTATTTCTCAAGTTAAAAAGTCTCATTACCCTTTATCTCAGTGATTCTTACTTTTTTTAACTTAATTCTTATTTTTTAAGAATAAAGTTGAAACAATGTACCTTTCTCTAGAGAATGTATATACTTAAATGACTTTGCATTCAATTTCAAGGGGTTGTGGCCCTCTGGAGTTCAACTGTTACCCTTGCCCATGAGTCTGCACTTAGGAATCCCAGCTGACACTCACTCATCAGAGAAAAGAAGAGGCCGGGAGGCATTACAAAGGAGAAATGCAAGAGAAGAGTGGGGAATAGGAAGAAACAAGGACCTCCTACCTGTGCTGGATCCTTGTGAGATGCTGGGTGCAAGTGACTGAATAAGGTTGAAGGATTGCTTTTTCTGGAGAGATTTTCGTCTATCTGGGACTTGAGGGGCAATGGTTAAAGAACTTCAAAGAGGCCTTAAGGGACTGAGGACAGTGGGCATAAGAAGGGGAACTGGAGTCAAAGGCTAAAAGACTCTGCCAGAATGTTCTACAGAGGCTAAAGAGCTAAACTGCCCTTGGCTTTTTTTTGAGACATGGTCTCACTCTGTTGCCCAGGCTGGAGTGCAGTGACACAATCATGGCTCACTGCAACCTCAATCTCCTAGGCTCAAGTGATCCTCCTATGTCAGTCTCCCAAGTAGCTGGGATGACAGGTGTGAGCCACCATGCCCACCCTAAGTTGCCCTTGGGATTCATGTCAGACTCTGGAGAATCTGAGATATAGAGAGCGGGAAAGAGGCACAAGAATGGAGCTGTGTGAGAGAACACTTGGGAGCATCAGCTTCTTCCTCCTGGAACAGGTCCAGGAGGCTGTCTTCTTGGTACTATTATTATATTACCACCCACTGGACTCTGGGGGGTCGCTAACCAAAATCTGAACTGCAATTTCTTTTTCCAACTAAGAAGATGAAAAGTAACTAAAACTAATGTTATTTCCTTTTCAGGATTCGTTCAGGCTCTTGATTGGAGAAATACCCTTATTTCTCCAATATGAAGATTCCTCTCTGAAGATCCAAATAAAAGAGCAATTAGCAAAGTGGTTCCATCTAGGGCTTTTTAAGTCAGACAGACCTGGGTTTAAGTCCTGGCTCTGCCAAGTACTAGCCTGTGACCCTGAGTGTCTTAGACTCTGTTTCTGAACTGTTATATGAAAATAATAATAGTACCTATTTCATAGGGCTGTTGAGAGATAAAATTGGGTACAGCGTCTGGCACATAGTAGATGCTCAATAAATGACAGTTATTATTGTTTTTCTTAGTGCCTACTGCTGGAACTATAATAGGAACCTATCTCCCAGTCCTCAGGGACACTTTCCCACTTACATACTTTAGCAGCTCTCTCTAGGGCCCCCAATACACATTCTCCAGTCACTGCATAACTCAAGATTCCTCTGGCCAGCCTATGTGTTCAGGGCTGGCTGCCCCCAAGACGTTTTTGGCCCATAGTTACATGACATTCATGATGACCCTTTCATTTATGATGAAAAGGTCCATGCTAGCTTAGGAATCTCACCATTCCCCTTTCCTTAGCTCCATCTAATTCTAAATAAATAGAATTCTGTAGATAGAATCAGATAAGTAGAATTAGATAGAATACCTAATATCTAATTCTAAAGAAGGATAAGGGTTTTTTTGGTTTTTTGTCTTTTTTGAGACAAAGTTTCACTCTTGATGCCCAGGCTGGAGTGCAATGGCATCTTGGCTCACCACAGCCTCCGCCTCCCGGGTTCAAGTGATTCTCCTGCCTCAGTCTCCCGAGTAGCTGGGATTACAGGCATGTGCCACCACGCCTGACTAATTTTGTATTTTTAGTAGAGACGCAGCTTCTCCATGTTGGTCAGGCTGGTCTCGAACTCCTGACCACAGGTGATCCACCCGCCTTGACCTCCCAAAGCGCTGGGATTACAGTTGTGAGCTACTGCGCCCAGCCTCAAGGATTCTTTGGATAGGAAAAGATTATATAAAAAGAAAGTTTCTAGAGCCTTCCCTGGGTAGCTTTGTTTTCCCAGAGGAGCCAGTCACTACCACCCCCCCCCCCCACTCCAATAAAACTATAAGGAAACTAACATTTGCACAAGACTTCTTAGGAGTCCTATATATTTTTCTCCCCAACAACTTTTTGTTCCCATTTTACATATCCAGAAACTAAGCCTTGAGCACTCAATTCAGTGTTGGAACTGAGATTTAAGTCCTATCTGTGTCTTTAGTGCTCTCTCTTTCCACCACTCCGCAGCTACCAGCAGCAAGAAAACACACACACAAACACACACACGCGGCACCCTAGCTCATTCTGCTCTCAGATTTTGTTCAGGGTCTCCATTGCCCAAGGGAGTAGACTAGAGCTGTCAGTCAAGCCCTCTGGGGAACACCTTCCCCGGGTTCTCCACTAGAGGCCTGAGGCAGTTATTGTGGTTTCCCTTTGTGATGTGTCACTCTATTTCCAGAGATCCCAGGTAATCCCTCCAGAACAATACCCCTACCCCACTCCCTCCACGGAACAGGTGCAGTACCTGCCATTCCAGGACGCAGATTTGGAAATCATCTCCCAGGGGCCAGATGCTTCACTGAAAAGTCTCCTGCACATTTGGAGTTCTGGCTACTAAAAACTCATGTTAGCATGGGAGTCTCAACACTTACCACCTCCTTCCCCAGGGCAGCTTGAGGTCAAGGTTCAGGACAGAAGGGAAAGCAGGCGGAGCTGGCAATGCCTGTCCCAACCAGGACAGGAACAGTCAACTCCTTGAACTGGAGGCAAGGAGAGAGGAGGGAAGGTATGGTCCCTGCAGTTCCCACTAAGCCCAACCCTGATATCCTCTAGTATCAGTCAGCAAGGAGGGGAGATGACGCCTTTTTATTAAGGTTAACACCAAGGAAAGTATTGAGAAGGAATACACAAAGGAGGGGGAGGGCACACAAAGTCACCACTTGAGGAGGTGGGAGGGCGGCACATCAGTAAAAGAACCTCAGGACAGCCACATGCTCCATGCCCTGGTTGGGAGAAGAGGGAGGGAAAAGCGCCATGATAGCTTGGAGCTCATAGAAGGGTCTGAAGCCCCCTGAACCTAACATCAGAGCCACAAGCCCTGCCCCTGAGGGCTCACACACTACTACACAAGTAGACACACATAACACACACAAGACATTATGAAGGCAACACCGAGAGGCAGCGGGCAGGGACATATTGACAGAAAAAGGAACTGAAGTTAAGCAGGTGTAGCCAGGAGAGACAGTTTTTGGCTGCGGCCCCGAGTCCCTCAAATGTCCCCTAAATCTGGGCTGCTGCTGAGCACCCCCGAGTCTCTGCCTGTGAACCGGGCTCTTTGTTCTGTAAGCCCCAGTGAGTGGAAAAGCAATCCCAGATGAAGTCAGTGACAAGGCAGGATCCGCTCTGCATGCAAAATCCTAGAGGTTGAGCTATTATGTCTTCATGCACATTCATAGCCAGCTCCTCCCAGCCCAGGGGCCCTTGGAACCCCATTCACCCAGATTCCTAGGGCTGCAGTTCCCTCCTCAAGCTTCCTTTACCAATCAGCAGCCGCAGAGATCTGTGAGGGGGAGAGGCTTCTGCAGAGCACTGAATATCTTGGATTTCAGCAGAAGGGTAAATTTCCTGTTGCCAGAACAGAATAACCCCAATTCCTTAATTTCTAGGTAAATTGTTAGAGATTATTTGCCATGGTCCTAGATAAGTCCTTTTTCAGAATAGAAAAAGCAGAATTTTATTTACACATTTCAGGGGTTCTCCTGTTGTCTGGGGAGGGGGAAAGGACAGGATAGGGATGGATGGGAGTCCAGAGATGGGCGCTTCCTCTCCCGGAGCCTCACCTTTCCGCAGTTTGCTATAATTCGCTTAGTTGGGCAGAAAGAATTCTTGATGCTCCCAAAGTCCTTCACCCTACAAATCCTTCCTCGAGGGAGTCTCTCTCTGCCTGACCCACAAGAGCAGCTGTCCAAGGGAAGCATGCCGCACCGCGCCGTTCAGTCCCCTCGCGTCATGCACTCGGAAACCCAAAGACAGCCCGAGAAGGTAGTGCCCCACGGAGTCCCCTCACAGGGAGGCCTCGCCCTCCAGTTGCAGCAGGGTAATGTCGGGCATGTCAAGGGGCTCCATAGGTGGCCCGTCCCCCGCAAGGAGAGCAGCACAGGGACTCTCGGGACGCTCACAGTGACTGGTGGGTGTGGCGGGGCTGGGCATCTCCTTCTCTTCTTCCTCGTCCTCCTCGTTCTCGGGATCGCGACCCAGTAAGCCGCTGTCCCCAATTCCAGGTGAAGGAGTCTCCGACTCTTGGGGGTCGCTCGGGAAGCTCCCCTTGCCGCTGACCACGCCCAAGCCGCCCTGGCGGGGCGCAGTGGTCATAATCTGGCACATGGAGACGATGGCTCGCTGGTTGGCGCACACGTCGTCCGAGAGCACCTGGATGTGCGAGGCCTGCTCGTCCAGGGCCCCCCTCATGGCCCTCACGTCCTCAAACAGGGCTTGCAGCTGGGCTTTCAGGTGCTCCATCAGTTCCTTCATGCCGCCGTTGTACTCCCCGGAGATCACGTCCCCCACGGCCGGCACGGTGGACACCTCCAGGGGCGCCGGCATGTCGCCGCCGTCCTTGGTCATGATCTCCAGCAGACCGTCCTCCATTGAGTGGCAGAAGCGGGTGGCGGCGGCTCTGGGTCGCGTCCAGCCCGGCCTCCGGGGTGGGGGAGGGGGTGGAGGGGGAGAGGTCCCGGGAGGGGTGGGGAGGAGCGGAGGGAAGCAGAGGCTCCCGAGACTGGCTGGGAGCGGACGTGAGAGACGAGTCCTGGGCAGAGGGCGCGGGCAGCGTCGCGGGCAGGGTCGCGGGAGGCCGAGAAGAGGCGGCGGGACGAGAACCCGGAGAGGGTCCCAGAGCCGGCGTCTCTTGGGCTCGCCCCGGGACGAAAGTGCCCTGCCCTGCCTCACCTCCCGGATTGCGCCCGTGTCAGCGCCGCCCTCTGGGCGCCACAAGCAGAGAGCGCCTGCCGGTTCCGTGGGTCACAGACGCGCTCGCGGAGGGGTCCGGGTCCGGGCTGAGGCCAGCGGCGCGTAGCACTCGGGACTCCCCCAGGCCATTAACTGGCAGCGCCCGCGAGTGTGGCAGCAGCAGCTGAGGCGGGTCTCCCGGCGGCGCCGCGGATGCTCCTCTGTTTCCAAGGCGACGCACGGCACGTAAATGACGTGTGTCTCCATGGTAACCAGGAAGTGGAGAAGAAAAAGGGAGGATGGCTGGAAGCTGCAGTGGGGCTGTGGAGTCTGGACTAGCGAGGTGGGGGGAGGAGAGGGGACGCTGCAGTGGCTTCGGCCGAGGCTGGAAAGAGTGTGTGGTTGCAATGTTTAATAGGGAAGCATGAGAGAGCCGTTTGCTGCACAAACCTCCAAGTCCGGGAGAGATCGTCCCTCCCCTAGCCGGGTTATGAGACCCAGCGCGACTGCCCTGGAAGGATTTTTCCAGCCCGCATTCCTTTCTCAGAGGATGGCGCTAAAGTCGAGTCCTGCCTCCCTGTCCTCCAGCGGTGCGCAGGAAAGCGGAGAGGGTAGAGAAGCTGATGCTAATCATCCCAGAGTTGAGCTGGGGCACGGTGGCGCTCTGGAGCCGGCCCCACCGGGCCTGGCGGTGCAGAGGCAGGAGGAGGAGGGCACTACGGAGGTTTCTGCAGTAAATCAGCCCTCTCGCTATAGAAATCACCGGAGCTGGGAAAGGATGGGACTCCCTCCTTTACGAGACCCTACCGCTCCTACCCAGGTCCCTGGGAGTTTGTCCCGGATGGGGAGGCCAAGTACTTAAGTTTTGGCAATGAAAGCTCCATAAGGGCAGAGATTTTTGTCTCCCCTGCATCCTTCATCACGGAATCCCCAGCTCCTAAAATACTGCCTGGCACCTAGTATGTAGACGCTTAATATAGTTATTGAATGAATAACAAAAACCACCAAGTCCCATGCTCTCATCCGGAACTCTCCAAGCCAAACGTAGTGGGTTTTAGGAGACCTGAATTCAGTTTCGTTTCTGCCACTTATTCATTCAGAGACCTTGGCCACATCATTTTCCTCATCTGTTAGGGAATTGAACTGGATAGTCTATAATATCATTTCTAATTCCGAATAACACTCTGCATCATCTCACAGGTGAAAAGGTAAACTGTTGACGGTTGCATGGAGGGGATGGATGGGATGACTGTGTGTTAGAGTAATTCCCGCTCTCTCTTTCAGTGCCCAAGTTCAGACATACACTGAGTATCCACAACCTTTGTGACAACCCCTTTCCCTATTTAAGGGGTGGAGCAGGAAGGGCGGAGGAAGAAAAACATTGTCTTTAATATATGTAGATGATTCCAGATTGAGAAGGAATCAGCACCTGGGCAGAGCACATTAATAATGACCCTAGGAAATTAGGGAAGCCAAGTGATCAGAAACCAAAAATGAAGTTCACAAGAATAAATCTGGGAAAGAGAAACAAACCATATCACTTCAAGATAGAGAAGAACTAGGGAAAAGTGTTTTGTAGACTGGCAGTTCAGTTACAGCAAATGTGTTACCTTTGGGTTTCCCTGATTATGTGGTTGGTGATGAAGAGTGAGACTGGCACAGGGAAACTTTTGTGACACTAGAGGACTGTTTGGCCTATACCAATCTTACTGCTATTAAAATAGAAACAAGTGGGGACTATCCTAAATGACCAGGAGCAGAATGTTTAAATAAACTAAGGCAAAATTGCTCATATATAAAGTATTATGCAGCCATTAGAAATTTGATTTCCCAAAACAAATATATGAACAAATTTTAAAAACACAGTATTGTATTTTCTGAAACTAATGATTCAATCCTATTTGCTTGCTTATTTCTTCCTTCGTTCTACAGATTTCCAGCACTCTCATCTTGGTTAGGACTCCTACCTCTACTATGTACCCCATAAGTGGTAATGACACCTTAAGTTACTCCTGAAACTCTGGCTCAGAGAGGACAGAAATGTTTCTCCTTGGTTTCCATAAGCACAACTGAAGTGGGCTGGTATTTACAAAGAGACTTTATTAACAACTATAGGAAAATTAGAAATAGAGACAGGACACATGAAAACAACTGAGCTTACACAGCATTAGTTTCCGATTATACTACAGCAAGCATGTTCTCAGGGCTTATGGGTTCAACCCTGCTTTCATCCTACCAAGGAGAGCTCAGCTATAGCCAGAAAAGACTGTCATGGCTTTCAGGCTTTCTGTCTGGGTCTGTTACTTTACATCTCTTGACAAGCACTTCACATGGAAAATTTCATCTTGCCAGTTCAGGCATATCCCTGCCTTCTACCTACAAAGAGTGACTCTGTCCCAGTGGGGGACCTCTCATCTTTGAAATCCCATAAGCTTACATTAAGCATAGCCCCCATACAGGAGGAGCTGTGGCATGTCATCATACAAGGCCTTTTGCCACTATTGTTGAGGATACCATTTATGTCAAGGCTTTCAGCATAAGATTACATCATGCTGTCCAGAGGTGCTGGCTATGAAGTCCACTGAGAGTACAAGGGATCTGAGCCCAGAGGGAGGGGAAATTATTGGAGAAGCACAAAAGACCATGGGAAACATATGCAGAGATCAAGCAGTGTGGCTGGTCCAGTCAAGTTCCAGGTCAAACATTTGAGAGTCAAGGGTAGGTGGGAACTGGGGGAGTGGACCAGTAGCAGAATTTGAAAATATAGGAAGGTGACTGGGTACGGTGGCTCATGCCTGTAATCCCAGCACTGTGGGAGGCTGAGGTGGGTGGATCACTTGAGATCAGTAGTTTGAGACCAGCCTGGTCAACATGGTGAAACCTGTCTCTACTAAAAACACGAAAATTAGCTGGGCATGGTGGTGGGCACCCGTAATCCGAGCTACTCCAGAGGCTGAGGCAGGAGAATTGCTCAAACTCGGGAGGCAGAGGTTGCAGTGAGCCAAGATCACGCCACTGCACTCCAGCCTGAGTGACAGAGCGAGACTTCGTCTCGAAAAAAAAAAAAAAAAAGAAAGAAAAAGAAAAGAAAAAAAAAGAAAGAAAAAAGAAAGGAAAAGAAAATAAAAGAAAAAGAAAATATAGGAAGGAGACATTGGTGCGTCTGATAGAAAACCAGATCATTTCAGGAACTCTGTGTGAAAATGAGACAAGGTAGAAAGGTCTAGTCTCAGGAAAATAAGGAGAACAGTGGCAGAGCCTCAGTCAGCTAGCTGGGTTACAGGCCTGGGCCCTCTGGATCCCTGTGCCCTATAGTTAGTTGCATGGGTCCATTTCTAAGCAAAAGGGGGCCAGATGTGTACCCCAGCTATCCTACTAGAATATTCAGAGGAACTGCCACATAATAAGAGAATATAACCCCTACACAGCTTCTGCTTCCTGCTTTTCTATTGTCCTCTGGGAATCACCTTAGCTGTTCTCTTTCTTCATCCCACTGTCATCAGTCTGTGGTGGGGAGAGACCCTCATGCTGCCGACATACAGGTTTCCATCAGGTGCACCTAGTTTCAAACATCATATTCTCACTAAAATTGGGATTCAGAAGAGGCTCTGCCATTTACCTCTGTCTAGTATCTAGTATATCTCTAGTTTATACTTTATATGGCTGGTGTATTTTTTGCACTATAAATCCGATAATGCTGGCTAGACTCAGTTCTAGAGCAATGATCTAAAACAAGGTACAGTTGACTGCTGTACCTTAGGCCCCAAATCCCAGACAATATCCCCCAAGTATAACTTTTATGAAGCTGAGCTGCTTTGTGGCCCATGGCAGCGTGATATCACATTCAAAAGAAACATATCCAATCGCCAAAAGCATTAAAAAGCAATTTAGATTTTTATTACAGTCTCTGGGAAAACTCTAAAGGTGTTTACATTCTTCGTGCACAGCAAAACATCTGAAACTTGTCTTCCTTCCTTCTCTATTTGTTCCACACATTATGGCATAGCTGTTGCTGCTGGTCTCTCTCCTTTCTCCCCAAACACCCTCAAACTTTCTCTCAAGCCTGACCCTTGCTTTCTCACTCCCTGGCTCTCTTCACTTCTTGGATGTATTCTTTTTCTCTTCTCCAAGAAGAAGCTTCCTGTCCTTCTCACGTAAATCAGGCCAAGCTTATTTTAGCTCTTTTGATTCTGTCCTTTATTCCCCCAATCTGCATGAGTACTGAGAACTCCAGCTATCAATTACAGAGGTCTTCTCAGAGCATAGAAAAGATGGAGAGGCTGAGAATATTCGCATTGTTGTGGGTTTTGCCTGTCACATAGACTAGTTTTTCTCAGCACCAGAGAGTGGTTTACCTGGCATTACAGCCAATCTGCTTTGTTCATCTCCCCGACGTTCGCACAGCAAAATGGACATGGTGGTTTGCAAAGACCCTAGGCCTGTATGAACCTCTGACTGGAGAGGTGATCCAACTGTCCACAACCTCAAGATTATTTAGCATCATAGACATGGTCATGTGGTGAGCCACCTACCCACACCTCATGTAAGGTCTGAACTACACTTCCAGTTGCTTGCTCTGTGACCTCAAACTGTTTTTAGGAGTCTTTAAGGCCACCCCTAACCCCTTATTTCTCTTCCATATTAACTTTACTCAGAGCAAGAATTCCAGGGGACCTTCCAACTTCTCATGCAATATGAATCTCCACTGACAATAACCCTCCATTCCAATTAAACCTGTTTTGCCAGTGTCATCCCATCTCCCCTTTCTGCACTGCCCCCTGCAGCAGCTTCTCTTAGATCAACACTTGCAGAGGCTTTTCCCCCTCTCGGTGCATATTCAAACATGTATTCGGTGTCACTGTGATGTCACCAGTTCCAACCCAAGTCTCTAGGTAACTGGCCATGGACACAGAAGCATATGGAACTCCAGAGCCACCAATGATCCCTGATGCATGGCCTTAAGCACCTTCCATCTTCTCCATAAATTATTTTGCCCCTAGAAAGTTGCCATTTTTGCAACAGCTCAGAGCCTGATTTGGCCCCAAGTCAGGCACTGATAG